GTAGAAGCTCAATCTCGGATGCCAGGCGCGGCTGGGTTGACATGACAAGAATTTCTCTCCGTCTCCGTCCGCAGTTCTCCTCCCACCGGCATCATTTTGCCATCTTCATCACGGCTATTCAGGATCCCGCCGGTCCGTTCAGTAATCTGCCCGCTCGCAAACTTAGTCAAGTGATCCATTCTCCTCGACCCAATATTACCGGTGTCAACCATGATGACTGGCGACTATAAATTGTACATGGCATAACTGGGCAATGTCATAATTCAACTCATTCATGATTGACCAAATTTCTACCTACGGATAGACATGCTCAGCCTTTGCTTCCCTTCCTATCTAGGCATTAAATCAGCCTACATAACAGCTTAACTCATAAGTCAACCCAGCCCCTTGACAAGTCACATATCATGAAGTATGTCATTGCTCGGCATTATGGAAGCCGGACCCATCTTTTGTCAACGTAGAGCAAAGTCAATTATACAATTCTCGAATGTCTATCCACATCTTTCTATTGACTGAGTCGCAGTCTAGCCATCGTCCACCTAGCAGATGTGGTCTTTCTAATACCTCGATGACCATGCGCCTCAAGTCCCCGAGACAGCCGTATAATCGTATTCTGAGGGCACCGCCGGTAAGATGCCGTCCTTATAAAAGTCGATACTGCGCCGGTATGGTCATCCCCATTGAAGCAACCCGTACATACTTCATTCCGTCTCCTCTCATTAAACCCCCCTCACTTATACCACCATGCAGTTCTCGACTCTTTTTGGAACCCTAGCCATCGTTGCCGGATTGGCCTCAGCCGCACCCGCATCAGAGCAATCTGCCGTCAAGCGCCAAAACTGGCAGTATTGCCCAACAGCAGGCAAGCGGTGCACAAACATCTTGGGAGGAGTCGGCGGATGCGTTTGCGGCCTCAAGCTTGACCCTAGATATGACTGCGTTTGCGTTTGAGTAGGTTCTCTTACCTCTTGGTCCATCGTTTGGACGAGGTGCTGACTCGAGAAGTATACCTTCTCCGATACCAGCATTGGACAACCGCATGATGACAAGCAATGGAACAGGGGGTTATGGGGATGATGGGCTCTATGAGCGATACAATGTCTCTGTGTATTAGATTATAAAGAATTCCAAACCGCAAAACAATTCGAGAGAACCCCAGTCGAATCCCTTCCTTTCCATTTTATCAAGCTCTATCACAAGGCTCCCAGTAAGTCCAGTATTGTAGGCGACTTAGTTAAACCTTGGGCATACATATCGCGAGAGTAAAAGGAGCTTCGAAACCATGAATGATAGCCGATGCAACTAAGCGTCGCTGTTGACGTCTGAAAAGGCTGTTGCCATATGAAGCTGTGGACGGAGGTCAAGTCCGTCTATGGCGTGATGGGACGCAACCCACGAATCAGGCAAACGTGGGGTTCAACTTCTACACCTGCCTTTCGTACCTATCACTTGGAATCTTATCTGCAGGTGAAAAATTGAAAAAAACATTAGCTTGAATCCTTCATGTTCTGCACACACACCATGTCTCGAGACCCAAATCGTCCAAACGTCGTCTTGATCCTAGCCGACAACCTCGGCTGGGGTGAATTGGGCTGCTACGGCGGGGGCGCCCTCCGCGGCGCCGCAACGCCCCGGATCGACAAGCTCGCAACGCAAGGTCTCCTGCTGCACAACTTCAATGTGGAGAGCGACTGCGTTCCCACCCGGTCCGCGCTGATGACGGGCCGGCACCCGATCCGGACTGGCTGTCGACAATCCGTCCCCGCGGGATTTCCGCAGGGTCTGACTTCGTGGGAGAGGACACTGGCTGAATGTCTCAAGGAAAACGACTATGCGACCGCGCATCACGGTAAATGGCATTTGGGAGATGTTCCAGGCCGGTACCCTTCAGACCGAGGCTTTGACGAGTGGTTTGGGATTCCGAGGACGACTGATGAGACGCAGTTTACTTCTGCGATTGGGTATACTCCCGAAGTGGCAGAAATGCCTTACATCATGAAGGGAGTTGCGGGGCAGAATTCAGAAAACGTACGCGTCTATGACTTGGAAGCCAGGAGACTCATCGACGCGATGCTAGTTGAGAAATCCAAAGACTGGCTGTCTCGTCAAGTTGCGGCGGAACGGCCATTCTTCCTCTACCACCCTCTCGTTCATCTTCACTTCCCAACGCTGCCTCACAAAGACTTTGCGGGAAACACCAAGCAAGGCGACTTTGCCGACTCCATGTCTGAGATGGACTATCGCGTAGGCGAACTCTTGGACCACATTGACTCCTTCGGGATTCGAGAAAACACAGTCGTCATCTTTGCCTCTGACAACGGCCCCGAGTTCAGAGAGCCATACAGAGGCACGGCAGGGCCGTGGTCGGGGACGTATCACACCGCCATGGAAGGTAGCCTGCGTGTGCCCTTCATCATACGGTGGCCTGATCGCGTCCCGGTGGGCGTCACGTCCAACGAGATAGTTCACGTGACGGACATATTCACAACCATTTTGTCCATCACCAAGTCGGGGGTCCCAGATGACCGCCCCATTGACGGCATCGATCAAACGAACTTCTTCAAGAACCCGGCCAACGAAAAGTCCGAGAGGCTAGGGTTCCTGTTTTACATTAAAGAAGAGCTGCGAGCGATCAAATGGGAAGACTGGAAGTTGCATCTTGTGTGGGAACCCAAGGTCAACCAGTCGTCGGGCCGCCTCGAGTCGCCCTACTTGTTCAACACCATCAGGGATCCGAAGGAAGAATCTGATATCTTGTCGTTCAATACCTGGGTGTTACAGCCGATGACGAAGTTGAGGACCGAGTTTCAAAGGAGTCTGGCAAATGATCCGGCGCCGCCGGACCCGTTGAAGGATTTTCTATGCTCTAATATAGATGTAGATATCCTTTGGTAGACTAAAACAACGTCAAAGTCGATCTCACAGCAAAGACTACCTAATGAGGTTATGAGGGAAAGAATTATTTCTCTGAAGCATCCTTGGTTAATCTCAATGATACCACATTTATCTACAGCGTTGATGTATATCTGGCAAGTGCACGATCTTGTTGCGCCTAAATTAACATGACTGGAATATTTCATTTAAGCTGCCGTGATCACATTGATCATAGTAGTGTCTAATATTGTCCGAATGGGTTGTCATACACTCTACAAGGACCGGACTATCGTGATGGAGACACAACATATGCAACTAGATAACCATGTTCCTTGGCCTTAAGCAGGCTGGGCAATACGCGCAGCCCAGAGTCAGGACAAGTATTTACAGCAGAAAACAGAGTAAGCCTTGTGTGATGGTAACTATTTGCCACGAGGGCACTGGCCGCTAGCAAGACACATAAGATCTAATACTCTCGAGCGCCCACTATCAAGCAGCTTTGTGATCCTTGTGTTCCTTCAACCTCCCGTCCCTCCGTCTATCCAGGGCAGAGCAAAGCAAAGCATTGTTCTCACTATCGAGAGCGGACCTCGAGCAGATACTTCGCGATGGTCTCAAAAACGACATACGAGCCTCTGCTCGTAACACTGACCTTTACACCCGGAGGCTTCCAACAGACCAAGATCCTCTCCATGGCACCGCAGACCACCCCCTTCACACCACCCAGCAGCCTCTGCTCTCCCGTCGACATTCGATGCTTGGTGGTCAAGACGGAAGATCTCACAGGAGACGTAGAATGCCTACGAGACCAAGTCGTAGCTGGAAATACAGCCAGCCTACCAACGCAATGTTTCCCCGAGAGCTACGCCGCAATCTGGCGGCCGTCTGGGACCGCGTTCAGTGAGACCCTCTACCTACTTTACCCCCTTCCAACATTTTAAGAAAGCACGCAGAACGCTGATGACATCTCATTTCGGAAAACCAGGCGACGTCGCAAGCGTAGCCTACCCAGGCACAGCCTGCATCTCCGGCTGGACGACAGCATGCGAGACAACTCTTACACTCGAGAGCGCGCAGACATACACCCAGACATGGTGCTGCCCGAGCTCGTACACCTGCCTCGTGCCCACGCCCGGCGGGACGCCCTATCGAGACTGCGTCAGCCTCCTCAGCACGAACACGGAGATCTGGATCAACAATATCGCGACGAGCGGCGGGAGGGAGTCGACGCTCTGGAGCTCGTGGAGAAAAGTCTCCCTCACCGGTCTCCCGAGTGCCACTGCGGGGGGCGGCCCGCTCTCGGTGAAGCACCCCGTCTTTCCGCTCTACGGCCGGGTTCCCTCTTCTCAGGCTTCTGGTGTTGCTGGAGGCGAGGGGAATCTTTCGACTGGTGCTGTTGCGGGGATTGCGGTTGGGGCGGTGACGTTGGTTCTTTTGCTTGTTGGTGCCGGGCTGTTCGTTTGCCTTCGGAAGAGGAAGCAAAAGAGAGCCGCGGCTGCCGTTGCTGCGCAGCGTGAGGGCACTGGAAATGGAGAATTTGGGCAGAAAGGTTTCGGGTACGATGCGAAACAAGAGTTACCCGGTCATGGCACTGAGATGAGGGAAGTAGACGCTGCTATGCCGCCTCCCGTTGAGCTTTCGGCTTATACGAGGGCTGCAGAGGTGGAGGGCAGCCGCCCTATTGAGTTGTCGTGAAGAAGTTCTCGGGAGCGTTTGTTTTTTTCATCATCATCATCATCATCAATACTTACTTATTCTAGATACCTTGGCTTGTTCGTAACGTAGCGTGTAATGTATGCACTAATGTAAATAAGTAGTGATATCGGCCGACATGACATTCGCTGCTTGGCCCCACCTCGCTAGACCACATTGTCCGAATCCCACATCAAAGGCGTGTCGACAGCTTGTGGGTCTCGCATTGGTCGTGTAAGTGAGTGAGCTTCCGTACATGTGATTGGTCTAGTCCGGCGCCCTTGTCCAAACTTGGAAATCTTGGCTATCAAGGGGAGATGTGAACTGCAAAACGACACATCTATAGTGTAAGTAGGTACTCAATGCCAGTGCAAATCCAAAAGTATATAATCTTCCTATCTTCTCAGGGAAATTCCAGATTTTATTATACAACACCATTCACAAACACATCTAACCCAGTTCCTCACCTTCCAAGATGTCTGAACCTCGTGAAACCATCATCATAGTCGGAGCAGGCATCGTTGGCTCAGCCCTAGCCCATTTCCTCTCATCCTGCCCAACCCCGCGATCAATCACCCTCATCGATCGCTCCTTCGGGCCCTTCCTCGGCTCAACAGGGCACGCACCCGGCTTCGTCGGCCAATTCAACGACTCCAAAGTCCTCACCAAGCTAGCCATCGACTCGGTCTCAGAATACACCAAAATCCCCGGCGGGTTCGATACCGTCGGCGGCCTGGAAATTGCATTCCAGCCCGCGGGATGCGAGCGTCTCAAGGCGCGATGCGCAGCTGCCGCGCAGCTCGGCCTACCTGCTCAGATGCTGAGCCTGAATGAGGCACATACACTTGCGCCGGAGCTCGTCAGAGACAACTCTTCGGACTCGGCCCCGGGGACGGCGGTGTTCTTCCCCACCGACGGGACCGCCGACGCATGCAAAATCACCTCCTTCTACCAAGCCACAGCAAAGAAAGCAGGCGTCGATTTCCTACAAAGCTCCGTCGAGAAGCTGCTCTTCACACCAGACGGCCGAATCAAGGGCGTCCAGGTAGTTGACAGCAGCTCCAGAACGCACCTCGACGCCGACAAGGTCATCCTCACAACAGGTATCTGGGCCCTCGACCTCTGCCGCGACCTCCCCTTCCCCGTCCCCGTCATCCCCGTCGGACACCCCTACATGCACGCCCGCACCCGAGACCCCTTGTCCCCACGAGAATCCCCCCTGCCCTTTGTGCGCTGGCCGGAACACCACGTCTACGCCAGAGACCACGGCGCCCGCTACGGTATCGGAAGCTACGACCACCCGCCCGTGGGCTGCGCGCCGAACCAGGAAGACGGGACAGCTATTGGGGTGTGGATCCCCGACTTTCGGCAGACGCTGGAATCCGCGAGGGGGATGTTGCCCCCCGCGACGGCGGCGGAGTTTGAGGAGGATGGGAGCGAGAAGAAGAGCAGGAGCTTTAATGGAATATTCTCCATGACGCCTGATAATATGCCGCTTGCTGGCGCAGTGACGTCGGTGCCTGGGTTGCATATGGCTGTTGCTGTGTGGGTTACGCACGCGGCTGGGACGGCCAAGTTTTTGACGGGAGTTCTTGAGGGGGAGGAAGTAGATCGGGAGACGTTGGAGGCTTTGGAGCCGGAGAGGTTTGCTGGAAGGGATTTTGCGACACTGGAGGAGGAGTCGCTTTGCGGGTATAATTCCATTTACAAGACTGTGGCCAAGTAGGCGTGGCAATAATACCCAAGCTCATGTTGATTGCTATTTGAAAAAGTTTTGTTTTTGGAGAAACATCTCATACCCATCGGCCCTTGCTCAGTAGTAGATTTGGATTCGCATCAACTCCCAAAACGTCAAGCCTCAATCTTCCACCTTAGTCTCTACGCATCTACTCCATCACTCAACTTCTTCCCCTTTCCACGCCCACTGAACCCCCATCCAATCTGCTTCGCCATCTTCACCTCGACACCCAACTCATCAGCATACGCATACACCAACCCAGGATTCTTCTGGAACCACCTCCCACACATCACCACATCCAACCCCTCCTGAAGGAGCCCCTCCGCCATGGTACCCGTGCTAATCCCACCCACAGCCGACACAACCATCCTCTCCCCCACAACCCTTTTAATCTCCTTTGCAAACTCAGCCTGGTACCCCGGCCCGCCCTTAATGCTCGTCGCCTGCAGCGGATGAATCCCCCCCGAACTCACATCCAGCAAATCGACGCCCCGATCCGCCAGAAGCGGCGCAAGCCGACACGAGTCCGCGAGCGTCCAGCTGCGCGGGACCAAGTCCGTCCTGTCATCGAACCAATCCGTCGCGCTGATGCGCACAAGAAGCGGCATGCCTTTCGGGATCGCTGCCCGCACGAGGTCGAGAATTTCGAGGACCAGGCGGGTGCGGTCTTCAAAGGAGCCGCTGCCGTAGGCGTCGGTGCGGATGTTGGAGATGGGGCTGAGGAATTGGTGGAGGAGGTACCCGTGCGCGGCGTGGATCTCGACAACGTCGAAGCCGGCCTGTACTGCGCGCAGGGCCGCGTCTACAAAGGCAGTCTTGACGTCTTCGATTTGCGCGAGGCTGAGGGCTTTCGGGAGGGGGTATGCTTCGTTGAAGCGGAGGGCGGAGGGGGCGTAGACGTTATCCGGCCAGCCGCCTACTTCTTTCGACGAGGTTGCGTTGGCGTGGATAAAGGGCGCGACGGTACTCGCTTTCCGGCCGGCGTGGCTTAGTTGGATACCGATTTTCTGTCCTTGGGCGTGCGCGAAGGCGGTGATGCGGCGGAGGGGCGGAATCTGGGCGTCGGACCAGAGGCCTAGGTCTTGTGGGGTGATGCGGCCTTCCGGTACGACGGCGGTGCATTCCATGAGGGCGAGGCCGGGTCCGCGTTGGAGGATGCCGCCTAGGTGGGTTAGGTGCCAGTCTGTTGCGAGGTTTCCGGCGGCGGGGTCGGCGGAGTATTGGCAGAGGGGGGCGAGGAAGAGGCGGTTTTGGAGGGTGAGGGCGCGGATTGTGAAGGGGGTGAAGAGTTTGGGGAGAGGGGAGGAGGTGGTGGTGGTTGATGATGATGGGAGGATGGCTGTGCCGGCAGGGGGGGATTGGGATGGGGTGTAGTAAGGTGCGTCTTTTGCTGCTGGGTTTTCGATGGGTTCGAGAGGCACAGATTCTGGTGCTTCATTGGCTTGGGATCCCATCTTGAAGGATTTAGTTTGGGATGTTTGGAAACGGCGATGCAAGAAGAGGCTGGATGGTGGGATAGGGAAGTAATGGAATGGAAGTGAGACGTTGGCTATTTTATATTGAACGTCAACTTTAGATATAAAAAAAAACGCCTCCCCTTTCGCCAGATTGTGTATTCTGTCAATGACAGGTTTGTTGCCGACATCTTCTCGGCGCTCGTCGTTGGTCGCCGACTGCTCCGGCCGGATTGTGGGCCTTCGGCCGTTTCATCCGTGGTGTTAACGGGCCGGGGGCGATTCGGTGCGCGCCGGAGCGCCGTGAACCATCACCGCTAAGGTTTTGGAGCTTTACTTCGGGAACTCCATCCGCTAGTTCAAAGTTCACTACGCGGTAGCAGTCGCAAAAGGCCGAGCAGCTTGGCTTAGCTGCTATGAGTATCTGTTGAAGGACCGTCGGCGCCAAGCGTGCTTCCCCGTCGGCGAGATGGCCCATCATGCCGAATCACAACAGTCGTACGATGGATTGGCATACCAATGATGGACTCACCGCAAGCCCGAGGTTCACGATTTGCACGAAAATTTTCACACTCGAGGAATCATTCAAAACTGTGATTTGCCTACTTTGACTATTGATACACCTCCAAACGCCTCCCTCCCAATCATTGCAATTTGTTTCATGTAGGTATACTTCATAAACATTATTTCAGGCCGTCAGACACGGCCATTACCCCTTCCGTGTAGTCCATTTGGTCGCGTCCTCGTGTGACCTATTTCAATTCACATCAAGGAACTTAGACTTCAGTCTCGACATCGGGCTTGCGACCGTTGAGAGCACCCATCTTGGTAATCTTCCGGATCGCAAACTTGGCCTCGTCCTTGGCGAACTGCACATTACGCATTGGACGCCACTGCATCAAACCCCGGTGCTGACGGTGCAAGTCTCTACTCCTGCTCTTGTAGTCTTTGTATGCTGCGACAGGTCCGCTGCCGCTTTTCTGAGATGCGTCTGAGGGCGCCGCACTTGCGTTGCTGTCTGTTGACTGCCGTGTGCCATTACTGCCTTCTCTGGTGTCTTTGGTGCTGGCGTCTGTGAGTCCGAGATCCGGCTCACTGCTGTTATCATCGTCGTCGTAATCCGTGTCGAAATCATCGCGTCCCTCCGAGTTCAGATCTTCTTGATTCTCATTATCGCCACCCATCATCTGTGTGGGATCTTTTCCAAACGCAGTGCTCCAATCGGTTCCGTCCTTGGAAAGCCACTTCTCTTTCTCCTTGGAGTCGGTCTGAGCAAGGACATCGCGTCCTTGGGTAAGAGACTCGTCATGCAGCTTCTGAACTGCGGGGGGCACCTCGGCTTGGACCTCCTCGCCTCGTACTCCTTCCGCGTAGCAGGCTTCCCAAGTCTCAATTGTCTCACGCGAATCGTTGTCGGTGACAAACTTGACGTGATCACCATCGGTACCAGTGGAGAAGCGGCCTCTGAACCTGAGTCGACCAACCTCTTCAATCTTCATGTCGGGGATATCCTTGAAGTTATCCTGGTTGATGTAGTTCTGTGACAGACGCATACCCTTGTCGCAGTTGAAGATGGGGATGTCAAAGTCGCGTTCCTCGCAATCCGGGAAGTCTTGAAGCCACAGAGATGCGAAAGCATCGGCATGGCGCTTTCCAGGAGGGTAGAACTCGAAAAAGACTGGAGATCTGTAGCGGTAACGAACAGGAAGACGAATCTTCTCATGTTTGTCCTCGCCACTGATGTTCCAGGAGTAGCCGTCTTGCTCCTCCAACTTGTTGCAAGCGTCCCGCTTGACGCTAGCGGAGCTACCACCGGTACGAAGGCGGATCTTGGTCTTCAATTTACCATAGCCAGCAGCGGTGATTTCTTGCGAAGTGAACTGGAAGGTACCAACGTCCCAGCCAAGCTGAGCAGGAGGCAGACGCAATTCAACGGACCTGAAGAGAAGGGAAATACGGATTCTTCCGTATCCGACTCCGCCGTCAAGAGGGTACCATCTTGTGGCCTCACTTCCAGATCGGAGGATATCGGACAGCTTGAGAGGGACCACGCCGATGATGGGGTCATGTTGTCTGTTGCGGGAGTCGCGGACGGTGATTGTCACGATGCCAGACCTCCAGTCCCGGATGAACTTTTCGGTACCGGCGTTGAAGATGGGCTGCGAGGATACAGCCTTGGTACGTGTCTTGTAGATCAGCTCATCATTGACAAGAATCGTGCAGTATGAGCTAGGCAGCTTGCTGCCTTGCTCCTCCTTGACTTCGCCAGCATCGAGACGGGCAGGCTCGTACTCGCGTCCCTTGCGCTTGCCGTTGGAACCCTTCACATTGGCAAGCTCCAATCCAACAATCTGGTGGACGACGATGCTGAGAATACCAGAGGGCCAGAGAGGGTCGGGAGGAGTGTGCTCGACAGCATCCTCCATGTCGTTTTCAATCGTTCCCTTTTCGTCCTGAAGCTCCTTCTTGTCTCTCAATTCAGGAGGCAAGTTAACGTCCTTACCGTCAGTGCGGAGGGCCTTGCGGAACTGAGTTTTGCCAAAGAAGCCAACCTCCCAGTGTAGCTCACCAGGCATCGAGGTCTCGGCCTTGACGCCAGCAAGCTTGGAAACCTGAGGGAACATCTTGCCGGGGTGCTGAATGAGCTTCTGAATGCTCAGCTCGACCTTGCCAACGACATCGTCCGCAGAAGAGCGATCGCTGTCCCAAAGTTCGACCGAAAGCTGCTCATCCGCCTTGATCAAATCAGCTGTGACCAACAGGCCGCAGCTCTCTTCAAAGACAGGATTGAGATCATCCTGAATGACACGGGTGCAGAATTGGGGCTTCGAGAACTTGCTCCAGGCGACGGTGATGTAGGGGTCTGAGCCTCCGCCCTCGCTGCCACGGCGGTCTTGCTTGCTGAGACCCGTCGCCTTGTGAATACGGATGAACAGGAGGCCAAGCGCAAGCGTCTCCTTCTTGATATCATCGCCTTGCAGCATCTTGCTCAAGTCAAGAGTCATGCTCTTGGGAGCGACGTACATTGAAGCGGCGGTACCAATGGCCCAGTTGACAAAGTTGGAGATGAGGGGCAAGTTGAGGATGTTGACTCCCTTCTCAATCATTGGCGTGCAACCTGCCTGAACCTTGGGAATTCCCATCAAAGTAAAAGTGAGGGTCTTGAGGAAAGGCGGCTCGGGGGTAAGCTGCAGTCTGATGCGGGCGGTGGCGACAAGTCCCTGAAGTTCAACCCCTAGAAGACGTTAGACAGTGCCAGGGAAACAAGTCTTTGCTGCACTCACAAATCGGGAGGGGAACACCAAAGAGACCGCGAACACCGAGGTAAAAGACCAGCTGCATTCCCATGTTGCGGGCCTTGGACGAAACATCAGAGCCAGACGGCTTCGCGTGATAGGCAACTGAGGCTTCCAGATTGTAGAAGTCACCAGCCTGTTCCATGGCAGCCAGTTCGTTGGGGTCGGTGTTCTTCTGGTTCTGCTTGTGGGCCTCGTCCTTGATGTCCTTGACATGGCTATCGGGAAGGGCGCGCAAGCTGAGAATGCGGAGCGGATTGCTGCCTTGCGAAATGTCGGCAACGCGCACGTTTTCGATGACGCCGGGCACTGAGGCAACCATGACGTCCTCGAGAGTATCAGCAACGCCAGCAAACATCTCAGGGTTAATCAGATTCCACATGATGCCAACAGCGGTGTTCATCCACTGAGCTTTGTTAGCGTCAAGTCATCACTTTGCAAGAATTGATATCACGCACCTCGACCGACTCGGGTACCAGATTGACGGTTGCTGTTTCGCCGCGCGCCTGCTCACTAGACCATTCGGTGTTTCTTCCCTGCGTGATAAGGTCCTTTATCCACAAAAAGACACCAGAGGCGACGCAGAATGCAAGAGGAAGTAAGCCGTAGAGCGCGCCACCAAAGAATTTGCCCACGATGACGATGCTGAAGAAGATACCAGCGCACAGAATGGTGCCTCGTCTCTCGAGATGCTCAAACATGGGCTCGTAGCTGACACTGGGAGTGTGGAAAAAGTTCACATTGGTCTTCTCGCTGTGGATCGGCACGTCGGTGGTGCTCCCAGGCTCGACAGGATCGGGCGGTGCTGTGACATCTTGGGCCCAACGGTACTCCTCGCCAGACTGGTTAGGATTGGTGGAGACCGTGGCTTCCTTCCCGAGGTTCTGGTTGGGAACGGATATCTGGCAATTGACGATTTAGCATTGTTCCAGAGCAGGGCTGGATACTCGTGAGAAACGAAAGATTGCGGGATAGCCTTACGTGAGGGTTCTCAACTACGTCCTTGAAATCTTCCTTGGGATTTTCAATCTCGACATCCTTGCCAGTGACGGGATCCCGGACTGTCTTGGTCTTCTTGCGAGCTCCTTTTGGTTTCTCGGGGACATGATCCTTTGTATCTTGGAGGGTTTGTTGTTGTTGCTGCTGCTGTTGTGTGGCATTCCCGTTGCCATGCTGCTGGCGGGCAGCTTCCTTGGCGATCCTCGCGTGCTCCTTATCCTCAGCCTCAATGGCAGCATCGCGCTCACGCTTCTCCTTGTCGAGCTGGGCGACGAACTCGTGGATATTTGGGATGCGGTTCCGGCCGCTGTAGTGCTGGCCGCCGGTCGGCACCGTGTGTTCGTCGTAATTCATCTTGCTACCATGAATGATCTTCTCCTGATACCTATGTTGGTTGGGGATGAAGGTAATAGACCAGTCGTAGCTGAGACTACGCTGTCAAGATCCAAATCAATTACCTAGTGTTTGGGTCAAACACGAAAAAGGGTAAAAGAGAATTGAGCAGAGGGAAGAATCGAGCAGTCAAGATTCGAAGTGTGCGGAGGTCAAGGCCTCGGGGGATAGGAATATAATCATAGGGATGCAGATCGTCCAGCAGGCCAGCAGGGCAAGGGGGAAAAGGGAACCGACAATCCATGAAATAGATGGGAAACGAGCCCCTCCAATTGCCTCATGGCTCCCCTTCAGCTCTAGCCAGCTAGTAGCTCGCTTCACCATGAATACCTTGGGTTAGTAGTCCTTTCAGCTGCAGTTCCCCCCCTCTTGGACCTGTTGGACAGCCAGGCTGGAAGCTGTGATGGTCAATGACGTAGCGTGTCTTGCGAACTTGCGACTTTGATGGCGGGAAAAGCCCACTAACAGCAGGCGCGGCCCCACCCCCGAGGCAAGCCCCCGGCTCCTTGCAGGCCCCTATGACGGAAGAAGTCTCCGGTACTTTAACCTGGCCCAAGCGTCCCCCGTCACTTTTGCGTTCTTGCCCCGACCTGCCCTGCCTTGCGCTTTCTTTCCGTGCCTATTGCAGTCTGTCGCTTCATAATTAAGGTAACTTTGCCGGTCTAACCCAGACGAATTGATTGAGATGTTGAACCAAAGTGGCAGCCACAAACATTCCTTCAAGCAAGTTGTTAGGACTAGAGACGCGGTAGGACTCTCTCTGCTTCCTGCCACCCGTGGCTGGAACGCTCCATGCTCAATGGCCCTAATGAGTGAGGTCTAGCCAGACTAACAGCCCCCCTTTTGGATTATTGACTGCTGGATTGGTGCTGTGCGTGCATGGCTTTAGGCGGGAAAGCAACATTCCCGCCCTACCCTTTACTACCGTACCCGATTCCTGTTTTTTGGGCAATGTTTCGATGGACTGTGTGACAAACGATGCGACAAGCTTGTGGCCGATCTGCAGTAGGGATCGCAAAATGTGCTTGCGTACATGGCTGGGGGGCAACAAAACAATGCGTACTGTCTGGGCCGCGTATTCATTGGCCTTCACCCGGCCTTGGCTTTATGGTTAGCTTACTCCCAATTTGAGCTTGACAGCTGGAGATGAGGGGGAACATTTGGTCCGGCTGGTGATTGTCTCCTTGATTTTGTGGGCTTCATATGCTTATCTTCCTACTTCGTATTCAGTTCAGGAGAGAGATATACACAGGAGAGTCTATTCTGAAGTGTTTTAATCTTTTCGTCTCAGAGAAGCCAACGCAAACACCATAAAGCCGAGGCGGCTCAAAAATCCTGATCGTCGTCCAGGTTTGTCAAAAATGTGTGAGGTCAGTCTATCGCAAACCTATCCGGGAGGCTCACTGGACATGGGTGATGGATGGGACATGGGGTGCCGCTTGCCCCGGCCGGCGGGAGGAGGATGAACGACGATGAGCAAAACTAACCACCTTGCCGGATGTTACGCAAGCCAAGCTTCAGCTTTCCGTCAGTCCACATTTTCATCATTACTCCCCGCTTTTCGATCACCTTTGCTGTTACACAAGCAGCAGAATTGTCGACAATATCGACAATGCTAGGCGTGTAGGCTTACAACCGCACCACGAGGTTTTAGATCATATTCCATTTGGCGTTTCAACTTTCCGTTCATCGCCTTGTTGCAATTTATTGGTCTGGTCTCTCGTCGACAGGCAAGGGTTGTTGGTCGAACCTCTATGAGCTCGTCCGCTGGCCAGGCCATTCTTTTTGGCCGCCACAAGTTCGCGCCACTTTACGTCCGAGCTCCGAAGTGGCAGCATCCTCTGGTCTCCCGTAAACAGTTGTTTTCCCCCGTCTTGCTAGTTCACGGCTGGAACATGCGGAGGAGCAATCGATCAAGAATACCGAGGATATGGTTCATAGTGCGTCGTGTTTCTCATAAAACCCCTAAAGCGGTACATGTACATAATCCTACAGAAGAAAGCCACCATTTTCAAGAATTCGCTCCCTGAACACCACGCAGATGCAATTTCTCAAATGTCTCCAAATTAGATCCCACTCCAGCTCACTCCCCTCAAAAGGTAACTTGTCAATTCCCATCAATGAACAACCATATCCGGGGGTATCGGCGTATCCCGCCGACTCCCAGTCTCCGGATTAATCAGATCCGCCGAACCCAGCCTGTCGCACTGTGACACGAGACGCTTCGGCACAGTCGGCGTCGTCAGATCAATCTCCATATCCCCCGGTGTCAGCCCCCGATCGGAGAACGAGTACGAGACGCTACTCGTATCCGACATCTCCACATCTTCCCCAGAAGCAGCCTCCTCAAACGTCTCGACGCTAGGCGTCGGGAGATCGCTGCCGCCGCAGGTCTGCACCTCCACAATCGGAGGGGGAGCAACCACCGGCTTCCTCCGAGGGACAGACAACACCGGCGTCTGTGCCGTCCGCGGTGTCTGTGCCGCTGCTGCCGCCGCCGCCTCGGCGGCTCGCAAAGCCGCCACGGCACCGCCCAAGTTCTCCTCGTCCTCCTCCTGGTTTCCAATCGTCCACACCCACCGCCGCTTCTTCTCCTTGCGCTTTGTCCGCTTCCTAATGCCGCCAGATGGGCTGACGGGCGGCGAGTTGGCCGCCAGCCCCGCCATCCGCCGCCGCATCTCCTCAAACGGGCCGGGCGTCATGCCGCCGTCGCGGGTCTCGTCGCTCGTGAAAGCCATGGCGAGGTCCAGCACCGTGTTTTGCTCCTCCTGGGCCGGCGCTGATGCCAGTGCCGTCTCCGCTGCTGCTGCTGCCGCCACTGCTGCCGGTGATGCAGGGGAAACGACGTCCTCGACGAGAAGGTCAATGTGTGACTTTGTGTATGTTTCTGTTGTGATTGTCTGCTCGATGGGGCTGTTGTAGGCTACGCGGCGGGCCGCCTTCTCTTGCAAGCGCAGGGACTGCCGGCGGGGTGAGATGGGTGTCTTTGCGCTTGGTGGAGGGAGAGGCGAGTTGCGGAGGATGCTGTGGAGGGAACGAGGGTGGGTGTATGGCAGCTTTGAGCCCGCGAGGGTCAGGTTGTTGTTACGCTTCCTTTGCGAGCGCGGCTCTGGCAAGTTCGTGATGAGTCCGATGGCCGTCAGCGGCGTCTTGGTGTCGATTGGCGAGAAGCCAAACATCTGGGGACCTTGGTTGGGCTCTACGGGGCCGGCGGAGAGAGGTGGGGTGGCGGTCATGGTACTGGGAAAGGTGATCTCCATTGCGACGCCGGGTGAAAGAGGGTGTGCGGTCAACGGGGTCTCGGGGTAGGAGACTGCGTACGGCGTCTGGATGCGGAGCTGGGGTGTCTTTGAGCCATTGTGCAACCGCGAGGCCTGTTGTTGGGATGTATTGATAGCCGTGAGCGGTTCTGCTGCGGTGGGTGTCGACCTCTCAATGGCGGTCACGTAGACGTTGGAGAGGGTGTTGAAGGTGGTCGGGTCCTTGGGATCGATGACGGAAAAGGACTTGTTGATTCTCGTGTGAGGTGCCGGCGACGTCTTGATGCTCAACGACAACTTTGGCCTTCTTGAGGCGGTTCCAGTCTGAGTAGCCATCGTGACCACGTGATGTGCCAATGTTGAACCCCGGAAGAGTGGTATAAGTTGATGAGTCTGCGGCTCAGCCTGGATAGCCAGCAGATTGGGTCGTACAGGGGTCAAGTGACGACCTTAGCCTCCCGAACTGTTGGAATCACCGGGATGAGACAAATCAGTTCAGAAAGAGGGGGGAAATCAGCAAGTGGTGAGATGTAGGGAAGAGGGGGATGGCGGCTATATAGATTAGGTTGGAAGTGGTGCAACGCTTAGAGTTGGTCGTTTTGTTCTTCGGTATCTGTGTGAGGGGGACACTGGGGAGGGGTTATCCAAGCTGGATTCTGGACTCTAGAGGGCACTGGATGTCTGGAGAGGCGCCGCTAGACAGACATATATGCAATGCAGTGTGACTGGAGGAACAGACAATAGACGCGAATGAAGGAAGGAATGCGTCGCACGCAGGACGACACCCCCTCGTCGCAGGCAGCTCCAGTTCTGGTTGGCTATTTTGGGCAGCCATATGTGATGGGGAAGAGGCGCAAGCGCCGGGCTCAGATGGGATCCTTGTCGACTCGAGTCGCATCCCTGCAGATTGGCCAATGACGATGGCGGGGGCGTCGGCTGTCTGCCCGAAGCGGCGTCTATTTGGTTGTACGACCGGGGACGTTTTGGAGTAATGAATCCCTCGCCATTTCCGGGCAGAAAGACGGTGAGCAAGAAGGTAGGTAGGTAGACTGGCGGGTAGACGGAGAGAGAGAGAGAGAGAGAACTTCCGTAGTCACGGGACAGTTGACAATAAGGTAGGTCGGTAGTAGGTGATACACCAGTAGCAGAGTGTGAGTGCGCTTGTTGGTCTAGGAAACATTGTCGACCTGGTCAACAGGCGGCTATTCAGACGCGGTCGTCCAGTCGCCGTTCTCGCTTTCTCGTTTTCGAAAGTTGCCCAAGCCACGCGAGAGTTCGTCGCAGAATGCCTGGGAACCCACACTTGTGAATCCTCAAGTCGGTCTTGGCAGCCGTTGTAAGCAGGTAGCGGGTGTTGAAAGCCTACACTGCCGTGACGGCTTGGGAGCGTTGTCGTGGAAATGTTGAGATGAGTGAGATGAGACGACGTAAGCTTTTGTTTGAGTGAGAGGGGCAAAGGAACACTGGCCGGTACCAAAAAAAAAAAAAAAAAAAGGGCTGAGTGTATCGGAAGGAAGCGAACTCTCTCGTCTCGTCTCCGCTTCCCGTCCACAGCCATGGATGATGGATCTTGGAGGAGTCATGGTGGGCGGAGGCACGTTCTCTTTTTTTTTTTTGGTCTTTGCCCAGCGAAAGCGAGAAATCCGTCTTGGTATCCACTTTGATCCGTGCGAAGAGACGCGACAGCCGGAAGCGCGGGTGTCTGACAGGCGCACGGCAGACTGTGCCACGCTGTGGCAACACTGGGCGGGTTGGTGTGGAGTATTACCTAAGGCACCTTGCCAGGTGTGCTGGGAGGATCATTCCCTCTCCCGGACGCCTCGATGCCAAGCCACAGCAAATCTCCAAACGGGGACCCCCGAGCCCCGCCCCGCAAATTAATCAGCGTCCAAAATTAGGTAATCCTGCAGGACGTCTCAGATTGACCCTCACTCTTCTGATGCAAGTGGCGCCAGCTGCAACTGCCTGGCATCTTTAACAGCGACATCCAAACAGTCAACTTCACCGGCCGGCGGCCCTTCCTCAACCCCACAGCCGCCGGGCTGGCCGAGCACTGTCGCAAATATCCCCAGAAAATAGAATGTCTACAGATACAGACAGACACCTTAGCCAAGGTCACGAATGATACCCCCACGACGCACCACCATCCTCCCAAGGTCTACGTTATCCGTCCACTCGGCCGATTCACCCCCTATCGCTGCTCTTCCTCTCTACCTTGTTCGCACACACCTGTCTCACAGTATCACAATCGCTTCGATAAGCCGGTACCGTCCTCATCATTGGATCGGCCATCTTCTGAAAAACGCCCGTTCTGAAAGAATTGGATGGATCAACGACGACTACACCAGGCCCCGCCGGCAACCTTCATGACTGCCCGCAGGCTTCGCCGATGAGTACATCTAAGTAGGACGACGGCCTCACTCATGAACTTACACCTTGGACGAGTGAAGTTTGATCATAAAAAGAGATTAAGATCCAGTACTATCGGTAATCTCTTTCTCAAGAGACAAGCAGCCTTGAGCAGTCTTTTCTATACGACGTCGTTTTAATCTATTTTGACAATTTTTGGCATATAATACTATGGGTGCGTTGATGTCACCTTCTTGCCCTGTGCTTCTGGATCGGGTCATACCGATCGCTTAAGGGGTACATGGCTACCTTACACATATGAACACGGGGCTTACACTCTCTTATAGGCTCCACCACCCAAGATACCTTCCCTCTCACTATTCCGGAATGGAGAGAGGCTCAAGAAGCTGGGGACGGCCTTAGCCGACTCTTGTCGCTTCGTGACTCCGAGGCCACTTTAAACTCCAACGCTTGGATAACCCTGGCCACTCCGTCCCAAATCGAGCAGCAATGGGCTTACACCGAATCCTTACGCTTATCCGGTGCTCCCTTACCACTTTTCGGCGTCCCCTTCGCGGCCAAGGATAACATTGACGTCGCCAGCTTCCCCACAACCGCAGCGTGCCCCAGCTTTGCCAATGGCCCCGTGGACCAGGATGCCGCAATCATCGCCCGTCTCAAGGCTGCCGGCGCCATCGTCCTCGGCAAGACAAACCTCGATCAGTTTGCCACAGGCCTTGTTGGTACCAGATCGCCCTACGGTCCAGTAAGCAACTCATTTGATCCCGCCAGGGTCAGCGGCGGTTCGAGTTCCGGCAGCTCCGTCGTCGTTGCCAGGGGCGTCGTCCCTTTTTCTCTTGGTACAGATACCGCTGGCAGCGGCCGTGTGCCTGCCGGTTTGAATAACCTTGTGGGAGTGAAGCCTACCAGAGGTGCCCTCAGCACAACTGGAGTTCTGCCGGCATGCCGCAGCCTCGACTGCGTGTCCATTTTTGCGCTCACTGTCGATGACGCCGAGACGATCTTGGCTGTGGCCGAGGGCTTCGACCCCAAGGACTCGTTCTCAAGGGCTCGACCGGACACCTCAAGCATGGTTGAGGGACATCGCATGGCCATCTGTGATGACCCTCCGTGGTTCGGCAAGACTGAACAGTCTGCAGCCTACGCGAAAGCCTTGGAGAAGGCCGAGACCCTTGGTTGGACGCTGGAGCCCAAAGACTTCTCTCCGCTGTTCAGGCTCGCCAGCTTGCTTTATGAGGGTCCTTGGGTTGCAGAACGTTACGCCGCTATCAGGGACTTCATTGAGGCAAACGAAGACAAGATGGACCCCACCGTCCGGGAGATCATCCTGAAGGCCAAGGACTTCAACGCCGCGGACCTTTTTGCATCAGAGTACCTACGTCAGGAGCTGACTCGCGTGATTGAGGACCGATTCAGCAGCTTCGATGCCATTCTAGTTCCCACGTCCCCTACCTTCCCAACTATCGAAGATCTCGCCAATGAGCCGATCAAGGAGAACGCCTATCTTGGCACGTATACCAACTTTGTCAACTTCATGGACTGGACCGCCCTGGCGATACCCGCCGGCTTCAGATCCGATGGACTCCCCTTTGGCATCACGTTGATCTCATCCACGTGGGACGAGCCGAAGCTGCTTTCCCTGGCACGAGAATGGCTTTATACCGGCCCCCGTCCTCTCGGGGCCACCAAGATTGAGAGACTTGAGACACAAAAATCTGACGCCATCGCCGCGGGCGAGCCAAAGACGACTCGTCTTGTGGTGGTAGGTGCTCACCTTACGGGGTTTCCCTTAAACAAAGACCTGACGTCTCGTGGAGGAACACTAGAGACGGCCACAACGACATCCTCAAGCTACAGGTTCTATTCCCTTGACACCGGCGGCACGGTAAAGAAGCCAGGTCTACAGCGCGTTCAAGTCGGCGGCAGCGCCATTCAGGTCGAAGTCTGGAGTTTACCCACGACGGAGGTTGGCAGCTTTCTAAAGACTGTCCCTTCGCCCCTTGGCATCGGTTCTGTCGAGCTAGCCGATGGAAGCTGGGCTCCTGGGTTCATCTGTGAACCCTATGGATTGGATGGTGCTACAGACATCACGTCCTTTGGAGGCTGGCGTGCCTTCATGGAGTCTCTATCCCCTGAGCATACTCGTCTTGGAAGTAATCCAAAGACTCGCGAGATCAAGACCGTCCTTATCGCCAACCGTGGAGAGATCGCCGTCCGAATCATTCGAACCCTGCATTCCATGGGCATCAAAGCTGTTTCGGTCCACTCCTCCACCGATGCTCGCTCACCTCACGTACGCAATGCCGATGTATCCCTTCCCCTGGAGGGTAACTCCGTCTCAGAAACCTACCTCAACGGCTCACAAATCCTTTCTCTCGCGAAAGAGGCTGGCGTTGATGCTATTATCCCGGGGTATGGCTTCTTGGCAGAGAATGCCGACTTTGCTTCAGCCGTTGAGGCCGAAGGCATGGTCTGGGTCGGGCCAACTGCCGAGCAGATGCGGCAACTCGGCTTGAAACACCTCGCTCGCGAAGTTGCCATTGGAGCAGGTGTCCCTGTTGTGCCGGGCAGCAAGCACCTCCTTAAGAGTGCCGACGAGGCGCTCATCGAGGCGGATCGCATAACTTATCCTGTGATGCTGAAGAGTACTGCGGGCGGAGGTGGCATCGGCCTCAAGTGCTGCGATGACGCTGCGTCACTCGTCGAGGCCTTTGAAAGCGTCCAGAGACTGGCGCAGGCCAACTTTGGTGACGGTGGAGTCTTTGTGGAGCACTTTATTGAGCATGCTCGGCATATCGAAGTACAAGTCATTGGCGACGGAGAGGGCAACGTCACGTCTGCTGGTGAGCGAGACTGTTCCTTGCAGCGCCGGAACCAAAAGGTGATTGAGGAGAGTCCTGCCACGTTTGTCCCTCTCGATGTGCGCAAAAGGATGCGCAAGGCCGCTGTCGACCTTGCCTCTGCTG